ATGGACCGGATACAAGCCGATACATGAATTCTAGAATTCTAGATTTTTGGGGGATATACATGGTATTGTACCGATACATGGATCCGATACATGTCGATACAAGGTGATACATTTTTGTGCTAGTAGTTCTTCGTCGTTTCGAGGAATACAAATTGTATCTGTATTTACGCAGCCTTCGTTTTTCGATATAAAAGAGTATAAACAATCATTGCAAAACATTGCAAATCACTGACAATCACTGACAATCATTGCAAATCATTGGCAATCAAAACAATCAAAAATTCAGCTTTTTCCCCCTTGAATAAAGGTGTAATGCGTACTGAATCTATTTGTTGAGGATAGTGTCTCACATTACACAAATACACATATAATGATATATCATTTGTAATCCCCATAAGATCACCTCCACTATCAATCCACCAATATTCAAATCCAAGTGTTTTTTTATGATCAGTACAAATGCTTCTAAAAGAATTTTCTATTCGTTTAAAAAATTCTTTTACAAATTTTAAAGTTGTATTTCGATCAGATAAGCTGGGGTCACATTTAATTCGTAAAGGTGTAAGATGCATATCAACAGCGTAAGATGAAGCTTCATTATTCACAGAATAAGAACGGGTGTTCGTCTTCTTATCAAAACTTGCCATATAATTACATAAATCATTTTTAACAGTATTTGTTGTTTCAACAGTATTTTCATTTATTTTCTTTCTTCTCGTATAAATTCGATAATTATTTGTTTTACGTTGTTTGTCAGTATTATATGCATCATCATACTTATAGTTATAGTTATTAGTATTAAAATCGTATTGATCTCCACGTTGAATTTTACGTTTTTGATTATTTTGTCGCTTATTCACTGTAGTAAATGGATTATTTAACTCATCATCAATATAAACTAATGAATCATCGTTTTCACTACCATTCTGTGTTTGAGATGTTGCTTGTCTTTTAATAGATTGGAGTTGTGAATTTTGATTATTTACTTGTTGTAATTTATCATGTAACTTTTGTAATCCAAGACCTTCTACCCGATTTTTCTTATCCACGGGAGATTCATTAGCATAGAAAGTGTACTTATCTGTCATTAAAGTTACCAATAGTTATAGAAATTATATACGCACTTAAATGCACTTAACTACACTGAAAGAAAAAAAGGTACCGTACCGAACTTAAAAAGGTTTCGAATTTTGAAACGAATTCTAAACCTTTTTAAGTTTCGTACGAAACTGGTTCGGTATGAAACTTGGTTGAAAAACCATAAAAATGGCTTCGCACATACAGTTCTACAGCACCACTATCGTGGAACCCAGTCCCTCAAGTTATGACACTATGGTTGCATGAGTCTCATCATGAACGCTTCCATAGTATCCCATATTCAATCTAATCCCCAACCGTCCTGCTCAGCTTCAGGTAAGAAGATTCTAGGAAATCAGATGAGAGACTCAAAACGTAATCAAAGTACATCAAAAGCAAAAAACACTTACTTCATAAGCTTGACACATACCACAAATCACAA